GAAAATTTTTATGAGACACCTCAAAGTTTAGAGAGGTTTAGTAGAATTTTGGTGTAAGGCCTCGATGTTCAGGGGGTTTTATGAAATTTACTTGAGAAAGCTAATGTAAATTTCACAAACCCCCCTTGGAGTTTAGAGTTTGTTGAAATATCCCTCAATTTATAAAATTAGAGAAAACTCATGCGTAAACTTTGAAACAGAGGTAATTGCATATTAGTCTATTATGTGTGAACTTTAAAATAGGGGTAACTGCATATTAGTCTATTATGTCATCCTTAATTAGCAAATAGTCTGTTTCCAATCTCTGTATATGCGTATTAGTCCCTCAAATCTTTATTTTTCTTGCAACATTATCCCTCTATTACGGATTCTTTAAGTTTTAAAACTATAGTTGGATTAAGCCTTAACCCAACATCTAAATTTACCCAAGTTGCCTTGAGTTTCCACATGTGGTTTTTATTTAAGTCTTGTTGGGAATATAACTATCTATGTTATTATTTAAGAAGAGCCATTTATTTGATTTGTATGTCAAATTTTTATAGATTTCAAAAATATTCTCTTGTTGGGAATATAACTATCTATGCTTGGTATGGTGTTTATATGTTAGGTGTTTACTTTATGTGGTATACTTAGAGCTCAAACCATACACATACATTTTATTCGTTTTCATTGTTTTACACATTTGTTTCATATTTATCCTGTTATTCATCTTTTGGGAAAATTACGTGTTTACGGATTAAAGACTTGACTATACTATTTTGCATCTTTTATAAAGTCTATTAATCCACTCAAAAGAACTTTCAAACTTATTTGAAATCATTTTGTCAAAATCAAGTGTTTTGATATTTCGTATTTTGATCGATTTTGCAAAATGATGAGTTTTCACAAATGAGAAATGATATTTAAAAATTTCCTTGTTTGTTTTTATGTGAATAAACATTTCCCCAAGTTCTAAAATTTTTGGAATTTATTTACTATTTTTAAAACACCTTTGAAAATCAGCTTTATGAAAAATTCAGTGTCTAGATATCTGTCTTTCGATTGACCGACATGGTCCCATCAGTCGACCAAAAATAGGTTATCGGTCAACCGATCAGAGTGTTTCAGCGTTTGAGTTTTCAGCCTTATCAGTCGACCGATCACATGCGATCAGTCGACCTATGAGCATCCATCGGTCGATCGATGCATGACCATCAGTCAACTGATGATTGTTCCGTTACAGTAAAGGCAAGTTTTTCAGATTTTGATTTTTGCGGGATTTGTTTTGGTTTTTGGGCTTTCCTCGGAGTTGGGCTAATATATTGAGAGACTATAAATAGCCTTTAACACTTAGTTTTAACTATGGAAGTTTAGAACAAGTTTTGCAAGTTTTTGTTTAAGGGTTTCAAAGAAAAATCAAAAGTGTTTTTGTTTGTGTGAAGAGAGTTTCACAAGAGAAGGATCACAACAACGTTCTTGAAGATTTCACCTCATAGCTCCACCTCTCTTGTTTTCAGAGAAGTTTTCTAAGCTCCTTTCTTCTAGCAAATTATTATTTTGTTTTTCATATATTTTTGCTAGATTGATTTGAGTTTAAATTTCATTCTAGCAAATTATTATTTTGTTTTTCATATATTTTTGCTAGATTGATTTGAGTTTAAATTTCATTATACTTATTGTTTCACACACAACCATTTTTCATATATTTTTGCTAGATTGATTTGAGTTTAAATTTCATTATACTTATTGTTTCACACACAACCATTAAGCTTAAGTATTTTACATATAGTATAATTGGATTGTGGGTGTAATTCTTGAGTGAGCTATAATTTCGTTCTCATTTGTATTAGAGAACAATTCATTTTATTCGCACTTATTGAGAGATCACATTGTAATACATAAGGACACTTAGAGAAGTGGTTAGGAGAAGAACGTGGTCAATTCTAAAAGGAGTGACTTGGTTGTAAAAGCCTAGGGAGATGTAGTAATTCCAAGCACTTGAGGAAGGTGACACGGGTAGGCCAATACTTAGATGAGTGTATTGTGGGATTAACAACGTGTGACTTGTAAACGTTATCGGTGAGCGTTGAAAACCAATTGTGTAGTTTTATTTGTGTTGATAGTGGAGAATCTCCTCGAGGGTGAGGAGCAGAGACGTAGGTTGAGGGTTGACCGAACTCCGTGATCATATTGTTTGTTTGTGTTTGACATTCGCGCACTTGTTCTCGCGTATATTTTCATATTGTTTTTTTGTCTTATATTTATACCGCCCTTCGTTTAATTCTATATCCTTGCACATATTACATGTATACATCATATTGCTAGGATATTGTTAGTATGTTTTAATTTGGCATCATAGTCGGATTAGATTAACAAATACCCTATTCACCCCCCCTAGGGTACTTTCATCTATAAGCATCTCAAAAATATATTTTCCCATTTTTCCATTTTTTTCAAAGTCAGGCTTCCCAAATTCTCAATAAGTAATATTAGGATGTTTATTCCAGTAAACAAATAAATTGTGAACTTATTTTTCCTTTACCTAAATTAGAAAGGCTATTTAGAGGATTATAAATCCTTCAAATTCAAAAATATTAAGGAGATCGGGTCAATCCTCAAGAAGTTGTTTGTTAGATGGAATCGGATCCTCTCATCAAATTTTCTTTTAAACAATTATAGTTGCATGGTAAAGTAGGTAATTTTCATAAAATAAACTAAAGAAAAAGAGCAAAATTTTAGTTCATATCACACAATAGAGTTCTTTGCTATGTTTGTTATATCCGAAAAACTAAAATTAGATCTCTAGCTTTATCGACAACATCATCCTCAAATCCATTAATCTTCGGATTAAAACTGTTGCGATTGTATGACAAACATATATTCAGATATTTTATAGATCATAGCAACCATATTTGTTTACATTACCGGAGAGATATACAAATATCTTTTTGCACCCTTAGTTGGAGTAGCAAGATTCAAGAGTTGAGGGACCTAATAATAATTTCCATGCTCTCGGAGACTAATTTCAAAATATTAAATTTGTAACAAATATCGCAAAAAAAAACCAACATCTTTCCCTCCACTATTTTTTATCATCCATGGTCATGCTTCCCCCTCCTGCTCCTCCGCCGCCTTCGACCGAGAATCATCAAGAACCACCGCTCAGGGTTTCTAATCTTGAAATCGATCGTCTTAAACATTGTCTGCATCCTCATCCTGATTGTTGAGACAAACCCGGGGCCCACTAGAGTAAGGTCCCAGCGAATATATAGTAGAGCAGAAATAATGAAATGAACACACAGATTTACATGAAAACCCCCTAAATAAATTTGGGGGTAAAAACCACGAGCAATCCACTATGAAAAAAAATTATGAGTTACAATCCCTTTTCTCAAGGAGAAATTCTCTCTATTTTTCTCTCTTTCTCTCCCTCTCTCTTTCTTTTCACTCCTAATTGGAAACACTGGGATGATATAAACTCAATTTCTCTCTTTCTCTCCCTCTCTCTTTCTTTTCACTCCTAATTGGAAACACTGGGATGATATAAACTCAACTCCGGGGAGAGCTATATATATGTGAGTTTGTCGTAGGTGCGCATTGTTGCTACAGTGTTGCTAAAACAACATTAAGTACTGGGATGATTACTGCAGTGGGTATGTGTTTAGTGTGGACACAATAACTTTCCATCGCTGATCACATTATTTAGGTAAGAAATGTTTTTTGTTCTCGTAGCTGTTCGATGAAATGTGCAGCTGAAACTTTGAATCCACTGGCGATATTCAGGCACACTGAGGAGTCTTGCATTCGACGAGTAAGAAGAGTAATGCAAATGAGATACCTGATCAGCATCTAACTGAGGAACTTTTGTTTGTCCTTCTCTCTTTAGCATGTTCAGGTTTGGAGAGAGAGACCCTTCTGCTGAGATCGCGCATAATTTGCTTCAGAGGATGATTGCCAATGATATTGTAGTTGCTCATGCAAATGAGAAATACCTGTTTAGCATCTAACTAAGGACTTACTGTGTTGTTGAGAGTTTTTTTTTTAGTTACTGAGTATACCCTCGATCGGTGTGGTTAGACTCTAATCATAGTTTATGAGCTGATTATCAATGCATTTATTAACAGCATCGTTCGACAACCTTATCTAGCTTACGACTGCAAGTATATGACTTCCCTTCTTTTACTTCTACTAGTGTGCATTTTTTTTTTGTTGCTCCTTTTCTCCCCTTTTACTCCAATGCTAACTGTAACAGTAGAATCCGTGAGAAAAAAGCACTTTTGATACTAAAATTGGGTCTTTTTGACCTTTTATTTTGTTCATTTATTTTTTTTTATTTTTGTCTTTTTTTTTTCTCGATCAGTTATTCAAAACGATTAAGTTTTCCTCTTGATTCCGCCAATGGGATAAGGCCTATGAAGGTAGAGAGAAATTTATTATGTGTATGTTCAAGTATTTGGATACTAATGTATTATGAAAAATAGATGTTTGTATTTGGATATTGGAGTACATTAGGTAAATTTCATAAACCCCCTAAAATTTTAGGGTGGTTGTGCAAAACCTCTAAACTTCAAACATTAGAGAAAACTTAAACCCCCAAGACATTGGGGAGTTTTACAGAACCACCTGAATCTAAAAAATTTATGTGAACTTGGGACACATTTAGTTCTAGAGTTTGTTGGGAAAAGAGAGGACAGAAAGAAATGGGAAATTTTTTGGAAACATTAGGAAAGTTGGGTCTGATTTTGAGAAACTCTACAAAGTTTACGGGGTTTTGAGAATTTGTAACATTCAGTTAGTTTTTGCACAAGTTGTTTACAGTTATCATCTGAAGTTTGTACCAATTAAATTGTTTGTCTTAATAAAAATATATTTATATGTGCCCATGCAGTAATTAAGGAGCATTTACTAATTATATATTGAAGAAGAAAAAAAAAACAACTTCAATATATATATCTGACATGCACACGGATACACAGAGAGAATGTACATCATAGAGGTACACATACCCAAGCTTACCCAAACTCTTTCTTTTGATTTGTTTTAAATACAAAAACTCACAATATTGTTGGGAAGAAAGTAAAGTTGCTTTTCATTAACTGCAATCACACCCTTAAACAAATCAATCAAAGCCTTAAATAGGCTTACACCAATACTAAAATAGCTAAAAATAGGCATACGGCAGTGACTACAATGCTGCATTTCAATTGTTCCTTCAGCAACCAGATTTCCTTGTTTGAGACAAGCAACAGTTTCAACCTAAAAGGATCACCGTCTCTGAAAACCATTTCTGTAGTTATTCCTTCCTCTGCCGAAACCAGACTGTGAATTTGAGCTTGATGATCTTTCAGATTTCTAAAATGAACAAATAAATAAACGCTAGTATGATGCCGTGTAAATGCAACATCAAAATGTAATCTCACGTAACACAAATAAGTCGCCTTCCGCCTGTGTAGTCATGGAGATCTGAGAACTTACTACCCTTATAGTTTCATTGTTGCAGGTACAACCTCTGGGTGAAATTCTTTTTGACTTGCTATCCTTCGTGAAATTTGGGCAGATATTGACCCGGGTTGAAATTAGTGAGTATATCTCAGGGTAAATAAGCCAAAAGAATTTACTCGGGGGGATATCTGCAACAGTGAAACTACAGGGGTAGTAAGTTCAAAGCAGTTGTACTACTGGGGATCTATGTGTACTTTAACCCCTAACCAATAAATCCAAATTTTACAAAATGCAACCGTAACTTCTGGGACTCTTGCAAGGTTCCCTTCGCTTGTCAATGATTATTTTTGCTATGAGTTTGAACCCAATTTTGCGGTAGTGAATATATGCACTATGATATTTATGCATAGAGACATTATTGTAAGTGCATTTAAGTATGATATACAAAAAATGACTATGTAAACCAAAAATAAAATACCTTCCAACTTGCTTTACCCATATTCAGCAAATCCCCCAGTTCATCAAGATCAACAGCAGCCTCGATGATGGCCTCATCCAGGCTCTTGTCGTCTCTGGCATTATAATAACAACCCCTACTCTTTGCATCTCGTACTATTTTCTCCCAAACTGATCTGCTTCTAATCAAGGTCGTCTCGTTGCCTAAAACCCACAAGCAATGCCTGTCCAAGATAAAAGAATTATAGTTTCATTTTCTTTGAGTAACCAGGGCAAGATGCATTAACTAGATAACAGATGCAGAACAAATACAGAGGTATGGAAGAAGGAGAGTAAGAGAAAAAGGAGATAAGAGGAAAAATTAGAAATTGATGGTATTGTGTTTATAAATAAAGTATAAAAAAATTTAACGGTAAACATCACATAAACCCCCTACGATTTGGACAGTTTTGAGATAACCGTCTAAACTTTATAAATGTCACTACTCCCCTCCCGCCCCCAAACGTTTAAGGATTATCAAAAACCCCCAAGCGTTTGAGTGGTTTTGCGACAAGCGCCAAAGGTTAGGGGTTTAAGTGACATTTACAAAGTTTAAGGGGGTTATCTCAGAATGGGGCAAATCACAGGTGGTTATGTGAAATTTAATGGAAAATTAATAATTTTAAAACCTGGAGTTTCATAGATGTCTTTAACTTACTTTGCCCTTGTCAAAGCCACATTTGTTCTTTGGAGGTTAGAAAGGAAGCCTACGCGTCCACCTTTGTTGTATCTCACTGTAGAAATAATTATAATATCCTCTTCTCCACCTTGAAATCCATCAATAGACTGAACTTTCACAGAGATTTCACTAGACGGAAAATACATGTTCTTAAGCTTGTCTTGAATTGCACATATTTGAGCTGTGTATGGTGATATGATGCCGATGCTAAGTTGTTTTCCCGTGGTGAATGTTGCTGTAACACCATGAATCATTATATGTTAATAATCCATGAATAACTTATGTGAATATTTGCGTAGTATGGTGCTCAAAAGTTTCAGGAAAAAAGTCCAGGTCTGTCACAAGTTAAACTAATTCTATGCACACATTTATTTGAACTATTTCATGATTGAACATATGCATACAGTTGTGTAATGTGTCCATACAATTTCGAAATAGGCTTGGTATATGGGCTATACAAGAAATAAGTATGTTCTATATTAACCACAACAGAGTAGAACAAGAGGGTATGTTTTACTTCGATGACAAATGTAATACACAACTTCAACTAAACAATAAACTAGTTATGCAATTTTGAAATAGGCTTGAAATATGCGATACAAGAAGACAAATATAAATGGATAAAGGAATACCTACATTTATATAGGTTCTTGAGAATTTGCATGACTACAGCAACCTCGATCATATTCTTGAGACTACGCCCATTAGTATCAGTTTCTTCCTTTCCTATGGCAATGTTTATAAAAGAATAGGGACCATACATTGGTCCAGGTAAATAACACTGCCGATAGCTATCACATATAACGTTAGGACCATCTGAGATTTTATCATTGTAGAAATTTGAGCTGGGAAATCTACTGATAGAAGGATGCATCCTGTATTGAACATCAAGGAGGTGTTTCTTGTGCCCAAGTGAGCTCAGTCTCTCAAAGAGACTTCTTCCAAAGGCAGCATTTTGAGAAGCCTGAAAAGTGAAGTGTAAACCAAGGTTGGCTACGTAATAGGTAGAAAGGGGAAATTTCACAGACCAATAGTTCAGGGCTTTTCTTTGATTTATAAAATATAAGGTTCTTTTATTTTATTTTATTTTGACAAAACACTCTGGAGTTCTGGGGGGGGTTTTGTGAAATTTACCCCAGAAATAAAATCGGGTTAATTGCAGATATAACTTCTGTAATGTAGCCCATTTGCGGGTAGACTCCCAGTAGTTTTATTGCAGATAAACCCCCTGAGTGAATTGTTTTTGACTTTTTTACCCTCAAGAGGTCTATTTGTCAAAAAATAACAATTTTTTCCTTCTCTAAAGGTGAAAGAGTAAAAAATATTACTCAGGGGGTCTATCTGCAACAATAAAATTGTAGAGGGGCTATCTGCAATTGCGCGATAGCATGACGAATTAACAATAAAAATCACAGACGTGTGTTTATATACCTGACTTTTAACCATCGCCGGAAGTTGGTACTCATCACCGATGAAAATGGCATGTTGAATCCGAGAGAGCTGTAAGGGGATTAAACACTCACATTCCTTTAATTGTGCAGCCTCATCAACCACCAAACATTCCAAAGGTTTTTTCATCTTCACATTATGTAATCGAAATGAACTAGAAGATGTGCAGAAAATAATGATTGCCCCCCTCAAACAGAAATTTTGAATCGATTGTCTGACAAATGTATTGGGGAGATGAAGATTACTATTAAGGGTCCTTAGAATCTGAATGCATATACTTCTGGTTCTCCTTAACTTAGTTTTTGCAGCTGTACCCTCTTTTATGTGATGCCACTCATATATGTTGCAATCCTCTTCTTCTGTCGACATTTTAAATACTTCATCAAGCATTTTGTCTGTAATATCTTTTGATCTCAACAAGGTCCCAGTGATATCTATACCCTCGAGTAGAAGATTCATGTCACTGAAGTTTTTCTCGGAAGTAGAAGATCTCGGTAGATCCATAGACAGTGTTCTCATGCAAAAACTCAAGCCTTGCGCAAGAGTAGAGAACCGCTTTAGTATGAACTCCTTAAGCGTCAATCTTACTATAGATTCCTTTTCTTTCTTCTCCTTTTCTTTCTTCCCTTTCGCTTTCTTCTCATTTTCTTTCTTCTCCTTCTCTTGCTTGTCTACTTCTTCCAAATACATTTCATAGTGAGAAATAGCACTCTCAAGAAAATTCATCATCGAGATCAGGCAATAGCTCCAGCCAGTTGAACGTGAAAAACACTTTGAAAGTCTGGTAACACGATCATCTAGAAATATTTCACTGAGATCATCAATGATCTTCATCCGGCTCTCGTTTCCAAATAAAACAATATCCCCCAAAGAGCAATTCTTGCTACTTGATGATTCTTTCACTAATCTAAGTAGTCTCGAAGCTATCTCCTTAACAGCAGTATTTGTTGGTGCACATGAAAGAGTTCTGCATTTCTTTGTTAGGAAAGCCCATAACAGAGAACTGATAGTTTTGGTTTTACCAGTTCCAGGAGGGCCCCATATAAGTTTAATAGACTTTTTCCCATGTTGATCACTTTCAGAGAGACAATCCAATACAGCATTCAGTTGTGAATCATTGAGCTTGAACCTGTCTAAACCAAGTGTTACATTTAATTCACTAAAGGCGGCACCTGATGATGATGAACATTCATCTGCATCCTGTTGCAAAAAGAGCTTGCTTAGTTTATAAATATGTCCACGTAATAAGTAAATGGGTAAACTACCAGAAAATCCCTATATCTATACATTGTTTTTCTTCCAAGAAATCCCTCATTTATAACCGTTAATTTTGTAAAAAGTTTTTGTTCTTCAGATGTTTTAGCAGATGTTTGCATTTAGATAGACGTCCACACTTCAAAATTCACAAACTTTGGGAGTTAAAGGGAGGCGGAAAATAAATAAATAAATATATATTTGTGTCATAGGAAAAATCTAACATATTTATCATTAACCAAGAATTCTGCATGTAGATGTTTGTTCAGACGTCTGAAGAACCAAGCTCTATTAGAAAACTAATGACATTATTAATGATCATAGATGAAGGGTTATTTTAAAAAAATCAACATGAAGGTTCTTGTGGTTCACCTTAAGTAAAAATAAACTATGAAAAATGAGATGATAGGATATTGGTACATACCAAAGGGTTATACTCCCAGACCATTTTGATAATACTAGCATTTTTATTCCGTACCGTATCGAAATCCAGCGATTTCCAAATACGATTATATGAGTTCACGGATGACAAGTAAATTGCAAATAGAGACTTTCTTGGCTCCTTCTCTCTACTATAAACTGGAACTTCCTGCGATGTTTTGATAACGAACCTTTTCGCTGTTGGTCCTTCACTACCTCCACCTTTGACAACCAAAGCAAGTGTATACAGTCTCCCATTTCTAGTAAGATCAGATGCACGTCTTGGTCTCAGTTCAGATAACACAAATATATCAGCTACCATTGGAGTGTATGATTCCTTTCCAACTGAGTTTTCTCTGTTTCCAAGCTCAATAATGTATGTCTTTTCAAGTGATCTAACTTCTCGAAGAGAATGTATTCTGATAAAAGGAGCTTTAGATAAGACTTCCAGAGATGAACATAGGTCGGCACGCATTTCTTCAAGCAGTGGATATGTATAGGAACTTAAGTATTGCCCCAAAGACGAAAATGTTTCTGGAATATTTTTCACCTGTAAAAGCAAGCTCGAAATAGATCAATTTGACAAAAACTCAATGAACTTTTATCAAATGCTTGTTCATGTATTGTTACTTTTTACTATTGATTCTGGACCGCACAACAAAAATTCAGTTGGAAAGTCTAAAATGTATTTGGTGATTCTTGAGGATAAAGTATTTGGTGTTTACCAAAAATAGATTCTTCCTTGGACATTCCATCAATTATAGAAGAGTAACCAATGCATGATTCTTATATTAGATTAGAGGGGATTGAAATTTTTTGAAGAAAGCATAAGTAATAATAACTTCCAGCATGTCCTGCAAGAACCAGGAACTTATGTTTTTGTCATAACTGTCGCAGAATCCCATATATGTTTTATTTTAATTTTTTATTGTTAACTAAATACCAATATTAGCTACAATCAGACATTTTGGGTAGAGCAATCATATAAATTATAATCATTAGTTTGTTTCTATGTAACCTCTGCAATCCTTGACAAAGAGATGAATTTAATAACAGGTTTGAATTTGATAGAAAGTACTAACCTTCTCCTTAAACAGATATTTATTAAAGACATCTTTGAGCGACCACGAGAACATTTTTCTCACAAGCTCCGTTTCCTGCTTCTTCAAGTGTATCTTAATCTTGATTGCAGAACCAAAGACAGCACTAAAAGATTGTGTAGAGTCCGTCCTAGAACCAAAACCACTCTGATTGCTACTGTCATAAGAACTTTTGTTATCATATTTCCCCGAATAAGTATGAAAACCGGAACCAAAACCAGAACCGGTATCATAAGAACTTTGTTGGCTGTTTTGCTTGCTACTGTAGTTATCATAGGAATGGTGCTTGTTAGATTTGTCCGAAGAAGTGTAAGAACCAGATCCAAAACCATAACTAGCACCAGAATACCGGGCACCACTGTGATTGCCATTTTGATTACCACTAGAAGTTTGTTCCTCGGATCGATTTGAAGAAGTACCAGAACCAAAGTTAGTCTTCGCACCCTGGTCATTAGCATTGTAAGAACCACTATGACTGCTATTGTGGCTATTATGGGAATTGTGCTTATTAGATTTGTCCGAAGAGGTATAAAAGCCAGAGCCAGAAACATATTTTGATAAGTAGTTACAAGCATTAGTGACAAGAAGTATCAGAATCCTGAGCACCACTGATTCATCCTGATTGGAATCCGTCCTAAAACAAAAACCACTCTGATTGCTACTGTCATCAGACTGATTTGAAGACGTATCAGAACCGAAATCGGTCTTAGTATCCTGACCAGCATTGCCATTGCTATTGTGATTATCGTCTGAATTTTTGTTATCATATTTCTCCGAATAAGTATGAAAACCGGAACCGGTATCATAAGAACTTTGTTGGCTGTTTTGATTGCTACTGTAGTTATCATATGAATGGTGCTTGTTAGATTTGTCAGAAGAAGTGTAAGAGCCAGATCCAAAACCAGAACTAGAACCAGAATCCTGGGCACCACTATGATTGCCATTTTGATTACCATTAGAAGTTTGTTCCTTGGATCGATTCGAAGAAGTACCAGAACCAAAGTTAGTCTTGGCACCCTGGTCATTAGCATTGGAAGAACTACTATGACTGCTGTTGTGACTATTATTAGATTTGTCCGAAGAGGTATAAAAGCCAGAGCCAGAACCAGAACCTGAATCAGAATCCTGAGCACCACTGTGATTGGCATTTTGATTCGAAGAAGTACCAGAATTAGCCTTCGAACCCTTATCCGAACTTGAAGCATATTTTGACAAGTAGTCCCAAGCATTAGTGACGAGCTTGAACGCGCCCTCAGCAGCGGCCGAGGAGTTCTTATCAGGGTGAGTTAGCAAACACATCTTCCTGAACTGTTGCTTAATGGACCGGATATCATCGTTAGGGTCCGACCCGAGAATGCCACACCAGTAAGCTACTGTAGGGGCTGATGGCTTCGAGGCAGCGGCCATGTGCACGCGAAGAGCAGCGAGGAGACGAGGGATTTGAGGGTGAGACGGGAAAAGGGTTTCGGCCTTCGAAGCTAGGCGATTCGCACCCCGTAGGTCGTTTGCTTTGAAGAGCTCTTCGGCTTCCGCCATTGCTTCCTCTGCTTCATCCTTGTTGGTCTCCATCACGGAGAGATCAGCGGCAACAAGCTAGGATAACTGTTGATGATGTTCAAATCGAATTTGGTCACAGACCCACGTAAATAAAAAAGTTTAATGCACGGATAATCAAAGATAGAGAACAAACTCAAGGAATCAACAGACACCACTCTATTTTCTTCATCTAGCAGACTCTTGATGGGCTCAAATTGAATTTGGTCACAAACCCATGTAAATAAAACAGTTTGATGCACGATTAATGACGAAAGGTAGAGAACAAACTCAATGAATCAACAAGGGTTGCTCTGCTAAAATGAAACCTCAAAGTCTATTGATGGGGTTTTCATGAAGTTGAGAGAAGACCTCAAAGTCTTGCTGTGGGAATCTTCATTTTTCTTTCTCTTCTTCGTTTAAGCAAAGTATGGAGCCTTGGCCTTCTTCACTTCTTCTCTCTGTTCTATGGAACTTTGTTAGCTCTGATGCTGCCTTTGCAGGGTCATTGCGCAATTCTGGAAACTTTTCGGTATGCTGGGGAAGCCATGCAGCCTCCTTCTGGGAATTGAAAGTAGGGCAAATTGCAGAACCCCCCCTGGGAATACGTGTAGCCTCCCTTTGGGAATTGAAATATGGGGAAATTGCAGAACCCCCCACCCGGGGAATACGTGTAGCCTCCTTTTGGGAAGTGAAATTTGGGTAAATTGCAGAACCCCCCCAAATATTTTGGGTGTTCACCATGAAAGTCACAAACTTTTTTAAATTTTACTGGAATATCATAACAGTGTTAGTGGATCAACAAGATACACTGTCAAAATAATGGATATACCGATGTCATTAACGTTGTCGGGGTCCGTTGGAAAATTTTAAAGTTTAGAAGTATTTCGTGGGACGCCCCTAAGTTTATGGACGTTTAGTATAATTTTGTGTGAAAGCCCCGATGTTCAGGGGTTTTTATGAAATTTACTTGAGAAAGCTAATGTAAATTTCACCAAACCCCCTTGGATTTTAGAGTTTGTTCAAATATCCCTAAATTTATAAAATTAGAGAAAACTCATGTGTGAACTTTAAAATAGGGGGTAATTGCATATTAGCCTATTATATCATCCTTAGTTAGCAAATAGTCTGTTTCAAATCTCGGTATTTGCGTATTAGTCCCACGAATCTTCATTTTTCTTGCAAAACTATCCCCATGTTAGGGATTCTTTAATGCCCTGTTTGGATGGAGGGTAGAGAGGGGGAGGGGAAGAGAAATGCAGCTTTCACCTTGTTTGAGAGTTTTTTAAGGAGGATAGAGAGGAGGAAGGAAAGGGAAAGGAGGGTAAAATTATTTGGTTTTCTCCCCCCCCCCATCAAAACAAATAAAAGGGCTGATGTGTTATTAGTATAAAGTCATTTATGTAAATTTATATATATTTACTTCCTTTCACCTTCATTCACATTACTCAACTCCCAAATAACATATTACAATTCCCTTCCCTTCTCGTTGTTTACCTTTCCTTCCCTTCCCTTAGTAAACTCTCAAACACAGCATAAGTTTTCAAACTCTGGTTGGATTAAGCCTTAACCCAACATCTAAATTTACCCGAGTTGCCTTGAGTTTTCCACATGTGTTAAATCTTGTTGGGAGTATAACTATCTATGCTATTATTTAAGAAAACCCATTTTTTTGGTTTGTATGTCAAATTTTTATAGATTTTAAAAATATCCTCTCATTTTAAAATCAAAATAAATATCTTTACATTTGGAAAAAACAACAGAATCCTCTCAACACTGTAAAAATCAAACCAAAATGTCTTGATTTTTTTGTGTCGTGCACGCATCGCGTGCACCGAAGTACTAGTAACTATTGGAAACAAAAGTTTACTTCAAAAAAACTATTGGAAAAAAACCTTTGTATTGGATTTGGGAAAGCTCTTGACTGTTAGAGAAGAAGAAGTTAGGGTGGTTGGGTTTTAGTTGGAGCTAGTTCCAGGTATAAACTTGTTATGAAACGGGTTGGCATTTTAAATAATGGGGTTAATTACAGATGGGAGTATTGCAGAAAAACCATCTAATTCCGTTAAACTTGACAGAAGTTCACTCTCATAAGTATCGTCACCCATCAAGAGGGACGATTTTGTCCGAAAATTGAACATTTGAGGACTATAAAGCAAATACTTAGACTTGAGTAACAATTTGGCAATTCAGAATGATCTAAGCGACTAATATGCAATTATTCTTAAAATATAAAACCTGTCATAAAATTGGAAATTCCGTAGATAGTTTAAACAATCCTTATTACTTCGATCGCCATAAGCGTCTCAAAAATCTATTTTCCCATTTTTCCAATAAGTAATATTAGGATGTTTATTCCAGTAAACAAATAAATTATGGACTTATTTTTCCTTTACCTAAATTAGAAAGGCTATTTAGAGGATTATAAATCCATCAAATTCAAAAATATTAAGAAGATCGGGTCAATCCTCAAAAAATTGTTTGGTAGATGGAATCGGGTCCTCTCATCAAATTTTCTTTTAAACAATTATAGTTGCATGGTAAAGTATGTAACTTTCATAAAATAAACTAAAGAAAAAGAGCAAAATTTTAGTTCATATCACACAACAGAGTTCTTCGCTATGTTTGTTATATCCGAAAAACTAAAATTAGATCTCTTTATCGTCAACATCATCCTCAAATCCATTAATCTTCGGATTAAAACTGTTGCGACTGTTGTTGATGCTCAATGTCAATAGTTTAATCTAGACAAGATTAATCCATAAGAGGATGGTTGCGGGGTGATGAAGGATGATGGTGGACTCGCTCCCTTCTTCGACTTTATGACTAGTTCTTGAACGAGGGCTTGATGTCTATGCTGCTCAGACAAGAAAAACCCGTGAGAGGGCGGAGACCGGTTCCCCCATGGTTCCTTCGACGGTCAAGTTAGTGAAACTCGAATGGGGAAGGGGAATGTCAAGAGCCAATGTGGTTCTTAAGGTGGCGTTGTCTCTGCCCAGAGGATCTATGTGAGCTCCTCTGTCTGGACGAAGAACTATGTGTTCTTCTCTTCGTGCCATCTATGCTTTAAGGGGTTTTAGATTACGAACATCTCTCTCCCACGCTATGGCGAATAGCATTTTTATATCAAGAGGATGGTCATGGCATATTGATCTGTTCAGCCATGCAAAAATGGCGGTGACCAAGTGTGAGCTGGAAGGTGAGTCATCCTTTTCTCTACACGCGTCGACTGGCGACTGGAGGGGAAGTCACTTCATCACGGGAGAGGGTGTCTCCGTATTTTTCGGGAAGTGATTGATAGCATGGCAGAAGGCAAGTGGGCATACTAAATCATCACTCGCTTTACAGGTATCGGTTGACGACTGGAGGGGAAGTCACTTCGGCATGGGAGAGGGTGTCTTTTTTCGAGAAGTGATGATAGCGTGGCAGAAGGCACGTGGGTATACTGAATCATCCATTGCTTTACAGATGTCGGCTGGTGACTGGAGGGAAAGTCACTTCAGCATGGGAGAGGGTATCTCCGTATTATTCGAGAAGTGGTTGAGCTGACAAGTCATGGAGATCTATGTAGGCAATAAAAATTACCTTAATTCCTAGCAAATAATCTCAAAACTGACAAAAACGCTAATATCTCTCAAACCGTAAGGAATTTGGTAAAATGGACAAGAGCAAACCAAACCCTTTGGGGGTGGGTTTGGTCAGCTCCGTCTCGTCGAGATAGTCGATTTTCATACATAATTTGTCTAATTCTGACTTACGGTTTAAAAGTTATGACCCGTCCTTCGCAACATGTTCTGAAGTCCGTCTGCAAGACTGGACTTCGCCTGAACATTGAAGTTCGACTATAATGCTAAGTTTGCTTGTCAACTTAGCTCACCTGATCTGATTGAAGCTCGCCTGATAGTTTTGCCTACGAGGTTCGCCATGCAGCGAGGCTCAACATCAAAAGACGAGGTTCGCCATGCATCGAGGCTCAACATCAAAAGACGAGGTTCGCCACGTAACGAAGCTCGATATCAAAAGACGAGGTTCGCCATGTAGCGAGGTTCAACATCAAAAGACGAGGTTCGCCACGTAGGGAAGCTCGACATCAAAATATGAGGTTTGCTGCGTCGCGAAGCTCATCATTGGAAACGAGGTTCGGAGCTCCTCACCAGACGTCAAGCTCATCAGTGAAGATGAGGCTCGTCAAAAGGAAAATCACAAGACTTGATATACAATTGGACTCAGCTATCGAAGACGAAGTTTGTTAGTGAATACGAAGCTCGTTAGACGGTGTCAGTGAAGACAGAGTTCGCTATACTGTAAAGTTAGCCTTAGAAAACGAACCTTGATGTATATTAAGGCTTGTCTAATCTGACGAACCTCACCATGCAGCAAGACTCGTCGTCCGTGGAAAATCTAGTTGTAACAGATTTGAAGACTTAGTCAGCCTCGGTGATTGTGCCTTGGGTTTATCCCTGATAAGGTACCAAGGTCTTGTAATTAGCCATGATGGTCGAGTTGCACTGGAGGATTCGACCGTATGTTGTGCCTTGAGCTTACCTTGATAAAGAGCCAATATATCGAATTGAATTGTTTAATGTAGGATGTTGTTGCCTTCATTTGCATTTTCGTGTAATCAATGTAGGATTGCAGTAGAAAATTAAAGGGAAAAAGAAGTTCTTTCCTTGACTTTATATAAAATATTAATAATTTAAAGCATAATGCAATTAAGATGGGTATATTATACTAACTTTTCTTTTATGTATTAAATCAGAAAAAAATAGATGTATATGCTTGCATGTGAAAAAAAATTTAAGCCAAAACAGGGCTATAATTGTTCACAATATGTTGGTACCCTTTGTGAGGTTGAGTTGTTCTTGTTTTGTATAAGATCTTGTAATTTGAGCAATTTAATAGTAAATTGGATCGTTTTCATGTTTGGTGACTTATCTTCTTTTGTGGTTGGAACCAATTTGTTATAATATGATATTTATCTTTTTATTGACTGAATGAAATTTACATTTTAAAAGGATTGTTTTCATTACTTGTTTAGTTTTCAATGAATAAATGTTGCTGGTGTACAGTAATTTTAAATGAGTATTTATTTATTAAATAATAATATCAAAAAAACATGTGCGTAACAACAGTAATAATAATAAGTTTGCAAATTAACAGGAGATGAAAACACTATGATAATGAAGACACTATTCGTTATGATTTGATTTGGTTCCAGTCCTAATGAAGTAGTAGATGTAATGCAAATAATTAATGTTTGTTAATAAATGAACAAAAGAAGCATGAACTATATGTCAACATAATTAGAGTTTATACTCATAAGTCACACATTAGTAATATACATAGCAAATAGAAACATCACTGGTTGTTATCTTCCAAGGTTCTTTTTTCGTCGAGTAGGTTTTGAGTCTTTTAAAGTCACAATTCTAGCTGCCAAGCTTCATTTCCCTTTAGCTTTGTTACTTCGCTTCCTCTTGTTATCTGCATGTAAGAAATAATTTAATAAGTTAATGGTTTTAATACTTAAGCATTAGTTCTGCACTTATTTTAAGCGTTTGGATTACATAATCGACGAAAATTTGTAGATTATTATCCCGGTGGTTATTTCCGTTCTAACGCTCATTATCCTGGTGGTTATCATGGGGTAAGTTGGACCATCATCATGCATGCATTTAAATCACTTTCTCTTTTGTGGATTTGAGTTGATATATATATTGAAAGTGTAGTGATAATTTTTATCAAAATGCAGCCCCTTATGATTGCAATTTTTTCACAATAAGGTCTATGGTCCCTATGAATGCATGGAATATAATCATGTGGTAAGTTCAATTTCATTCTTCATTGATTTGGATTAATTGATCTATTTGTCCTCCACAATTTTTTTCATTAAGCAAGGCCGCCAGTTGCGATAGATCTCTACAATTTGTCGTACAGAAGAGAAATGAAGTTCCTTTCCCCCTCCCTAAACATGAATACAATAGCTAGTGCAGATAAGAATAGTATTATTTATTCAAAGCCAATGGAAATTCAATGATTGATTCTCTCTGTTGTGGCATATTGATGGCTAATACTGGACTGTAAATGTTTTTCCTAAGAGTGCTGGACTGTAATTGAAGTTGGGTCTGTAAATATTTGAGAGCTCGCCTCCTACAGCGGATGTTTCAGATGCATCTATTTTTTCCCTTGACCCCTTCAACATGGACTCAAATTGATTATTCATGAAGCTAGGTGAAAATAAATTCAATCTCAGAGGTAAGTTCGATATCATTTTTGCTAGATTGCTAGATTTGGAATAATTCGGATTTTTGTCTCCTTTCTCTTCTATTTTTAATTTTATTTTTCACTCAATTTTCCTAGGTCTTCATATATTTTAAAATTTTACAACAAAAAATTTACAGCAACATCTGCTAATTTAAATTTAAATATTTTAAAATTTAAAAGTTGAAGAGGAAAAATCTTACCAGATCATCTTTGACCTTCTCTGTTCACTTAGTCTGAAGAATTTTTTGCTGAGATTATGTATGAAAATTTGGGTGTAGAGAATAAAAACAGGTTACTATATATATGTAGTAGTTTGGGAGATGTGGGAGTTACATTAGTGGAGGCAGTTGTTCACGGTTATGAGAAGTGGGGTTAGGTGGATAATGGGTAGAAACTTTGACAAATTATACTTTTCGTTATAAAGATGAATTTTAAAAATAATTTTGTAATGAATAATCTGATTGGTCCAGATCAGATTTACTGTTCTTAAGAGCTTTTTGAGTGTTCTCTTTTAGTTAATAAGAAGTAGATATATTGAAGAAGAAAGAAAAAACAACTTCAATATAAAATCAAAAGGTATCAGATCTCAAAATTTTGAGTTATTGCAATATCAGGAATTGGATTACTGTGACAAAAAACCGTAGAATTTAATAAAGGTCAGCCATAATAACCTTAAGAAAGAAAAAAAAGGAGAAAGAAAGAGAGAAGGGTACACAATCGCCTACTGAAACTGAATATTGCAGGTTGATGAAGCTCCCATGCATTCATTTATCAAGCATTGTTCTCCAACTTCCGCTGCTTGCTTAATTTTTCTTTCTTAATAATATTTGACATGCACACGTATGCACAGAGAGAATGTACATCATAGAGGTTCACATACCCAAGCTTACCCAAGCTCTTTCTTTTGATTGGTTTTAAATACAAAAACCAGCTTGTTTGAAAATATATATCTCCTCAGTATCCTTGAATTGGCCTTATCAAAAACTTAATGCTTGTTTGAAACAAACAACAGTTTCAACCTAAAAGGATCACCGTCTCTGAAACCCATTTCTGTAGTTATTCCTTCCTCTGCCGAAACCAGACTGTGAATTTGAGCTTGATGATCTATCAGATTTCTAAAATGAACAAATAAATAAATAAATAAACGTTAGTATGATGCCATGTAAATGTAACATCAAAATGTAATCTCACGTAACACAAATATGTTGCGTTCCGCCTGTGTAGTCATGGAGATCTCAGAACTTACTACCCTTGTAGTTTCGTTGTTGCAGGTAGACCCTCTGGGTGAAATTCTTTTTGACTTGTTATCCTTCGTGAAATTTGGGCAGATATTGCCTCGGGTTGAAATTAGTGAGTTTATCTCAGGGTAAATAAGCCAAAAGAATTTACTCGGGGGGTATCTGCAACAGTGGAACTACAGGGGTAGTAAGTTCAAAACAGTTGTACTACAGGGGATATATGTGTACTTTAACCCCTAACCAATAAATCCAAATTTTACATAATGTAACCTTAACTTCGGGGATTCTTGCAAGGTTCCCTTCGCTTGTCAATGATTATTTTTGCTATGAGTTTGAACCCAATTTGGTGGTAGTGAATATATGCACTATGATATATATGCATAGAGACATTATTGTAAGTGTATTTAAGTATGATATACAAAAAATGACTATGTAAACCAAAAAAAAAATACCTTCCAACTTGCTTTACCCATATTCAGCAAATCCTCCAGTTCATCAAGATCAACAGCAGCCTCGATGATGGCCTTATCCAGGCTCTTGTCGTCTCTGGCATTATAATAACAACCCCTACTCTTTGCATCTCGTATTATTTTTCCCCAAACTGATCCGCTTCTAATCAAGGTCGTCTCGTTGCCTAAAACCCACAAGCAATGTCTGTCCAAAATAAAAGAATTATAGTTTCATTTTTTTCTTTGAGTAACCAGGGCAAGATGCATTAACTAGAGAACAGATGCAGAATACATACAGAGGTATGGAAGAAGGAGAGTAAAAGAAAAAGGAGATAAGAGGAAAAATTAGAAATTTATGTTATTGTGTTAACAAATAAAGTACAATAAAATTGAAGGGTAAACATCACATAAACCCCCTACGATTTGGACTGTTTTGAGATAACCCTCTAAACTTTATAAATGTCACTACTCCCTCCCGTCCCCCCAACGTTTAAGGATTATCATAAAAATAATGTTGAAAGTTAAGCGGGCTATGTTTAAAAAAAATTAGGGTTAAGCAGCTGGGGAGTATGTTAAAAAATTGAAAGCATTTTGAGTGTTTTTGTGACAAACCCCAAATATTAGGGGCATTTTAAAAAATTGAAAGCGTTTGAGTGTTTTTACGACAAGCGCCAAAGGTTAGGGGTTGAAGTGACATTTACAAAGTTTAAGGGGGTTATCTCAGAATGGGGCAAATCACAGGTGGTTATGTGAAATTTAATGGAAAATTAATAATTTTAAAACCTGGAATTGCATAGATGTCTTTAACTTACTTTGCCCTTGTCAAAGCCACATTTGTTCTTTGGAGGTTAGAAAGGAAGCCCACGCATCCACCTTTGTTGTATCTCACTGTAGAAATAATTATAATATCCTCTTCTCCACCTTGAAATCCATCAATAGACTGAACTTTCACAGAGATTTCACTAGACGGAAAATACATGTTCTTAAGCTTCTCTTGAATTGCACATATTTGAGCTGTGTATGGTGATATGATGCCGATGCTAAGTTTTTTTCCCCTGGTGAAAGTTGCTGTAACACCATGAATCATTATATGTTAATAATCCATGAATAACTTATGTGAATATCTGCGAAATATGGTGCTCAAAAGTTTCAGGAAAAAAGTCCAGGTCTGTCTTAAGTTAAAACTAATTATATGCACACATTTATTTGAACTATTTCATGATTGAACATATACACACAGTTGTGTAACGTGAAGATTATATTATCTAGTGGATATGTGTCCATACTATTTCGAAATAGGCTTGGTTATACAAGAAATAAGTATGTTCTATATTAACCACAACAGAGTAGAACAAGAGGGTATGTTTTACTTCGATGACAAATGTAATACACAACTTCAACTAAACAATAAACTAGTTATGCAATTTTGAAATAGGCTTGAAATATGCGATACAAGAAGACAAATATAAATGGATAAAGGAATACCTACATTTATATAGGTTCTTGAGAATTTGCATGACTACAGCAACCTCGATCATATTCTTGAGACTACGCCCATTAGTATCAGTTTCTTCCTTTCCTATGGCAATGTTTATAAAAGAATAGGGACCATACATTGGTCCAGGTAAATAACACTGCCGATAGCTATCACATATAACGTTAGGACCATCTGAGATTTTATCATTGTAGAAATTTGAGCTGGGAAATCTACTGATAGAAGGATGCATCCTGTATTGAACATCAAGGAGGTGTTTCTTGTGCCCAAGTGAGCTCAGTCTCTCAAAGAGACTTCTTCCAAAGGCAGCATTTTGAGAAGCCTGAAAAGTGAAGTGTAAACCAAGGTTGGCTACGTAATAGGTAGAAAGGGTAAATTTCACAGACCAATAGTTCAGGGCGTTTTCTTTGATTTTTTTTATAAAATATAAGGTTCTTTTATTTTATTTTATTTTGACAAAACACTCTGGAGTTCTGGGGGGGTTTTGTGAAATTTACCCCAGAAATAAAATCAGGTCAATTGCAGATATAACTTCTGTAATGTAGCCCATTTGCGGGTAGACTCCCAGTAGTTTTATTGCAGATGTACCCCCTGAGTGAATTGTTTTTGACTTTTTTACCCTCAAGAGGTCTATATGTCAAAAAATAACAATTTTTTCCTTCTCTGAGGGTGAAAGAGTAAATAATTTTACTCAGGGGGTCTATCTGCAACAATATAATTGTAGAGGGCCTATCTGCAATTGGGCGATAGCATGACGAATTAACAATAAAAATCACAGACGTGTGGTTATATACCTGACTTTTAACCATCGCCGGAAGTTGGTACTCATCGCCGATGAAAATGGCATGTTGAATCCGAGAGAGCTGTAAGGGGATTAAACACTCACATTCCTTTAACTGTGCAGCCTCATCAACTACCAAACATTCCAAAGGTTTTTCCATCTTCACATCATGTAATCGAAATGAACTAGAAGATGTGCAGAAAATAATGATTGCCCCCCTCAAACAGAAATTTTGAATCGATTGTCTGACAAATGTATTGGGGAGATGAAGATTACTATTAAGGGTCCTTAGAATCTGAATGCATATACTTCTGGTTCTCCTTAACTTAGTTTTTGTAGCTGTACCCTCTTTTATGTGATGCAACTCATATATGTTGCAATCCTCTTCTTCTATTGACATTTTAAAAACTTCATCAAGCATTTTGTCTGTAATATCTGTTGATCTCAACAAGGTCCCAGTGATATCAATACCCTCAAGTAGAAGATTCATGTCACTGAAGTTTTTCTCGGAGGTAGAAGATCTCGGTAGATCTATAGACAGTGTTCTCATGCAAAAACTCAAGTCTTGCGCAAGAGTAGAGAACCGCTTTAGTATGAACTCCTTAAGCGTCAATCTTACTATAGATTCCTTTTCTTTCTTCTCCTTTTCTTTCTTCCCTTTCGCTTTCTTCTCATTTTCTTTCTTCTCCTTCTCTTGCTTGTCTACTTCTTCCAAATACATTTCATAGTGAGAAATAGCACTCTCAAGAAAATTCATCATCGAGATCAGGCAATAGCTCCAGCCAGTTGAACGTGAAAAACACTTTGAAAGTCTGGTAACACGATCATCTAGAAATATTTCACTGAGATCATCATTGATCTTCATCCGGCTCTCGTTTCCAAATAAAACAATATCCCCCAAAGAGCAATTCTTGCTACTTGATGATTCTTTCACTAATCTAAGTAGTCTCGAAGCTATCTCCTTAACAGCAGTATTTGTTGGTGCACATGAAAGAGTTCTGCATTTCTTTGTTAGGAAAGCCCATAACAGAGAACTGATAGTTTTGGTTTTACCAGTTCCAGGAGGGCCCCATATAAGTTTAATAGACTTTTTCCCATGTTGATCACTTTCAGAGAGACAATCCAATACAGCATTCAGTTGTGAATCATTGAGCTTGAACCTGTCTAAACCAAGTGTTACATTTAATTCACTAAAAGCAGCACCTGATGATGATGAACATTCATCTGCATCCTGTTGCAAATAAGAGATTGCTTAGTTTATAAATATGTCCACGTAATAAGTAAATGGGTAAACTACCAGAAAATCCCTATATTTATACATTGTTTTTCTTCCAAGAAAACCCTCATTTATAACCTTTAATTTTGTACAAAGTTTTTGTTCTTCAGATGTTTTAGCAGATGTTTGCATTTAGATAGACGTCCACACTTCAGAATTCTCAAACTTTGGGAGTTAAAGGGAGGAGGAAAATAAATATTAAATAAATAAATGTCTTGTGTAATAGGAAAAATCTAACATATTTATCATTAACCAAGAATTCTGCATGCAGATGTTTGTTCAGACGTCTGAAGAACCAAGCTCTATTAGAAAACTAATGACATTATTAATTGTTGACATATTAGTAATATATAGGGACTTATTTGTAAGTTGTGTAGGGGCCTATATAAGCCCAAGAGATCTCATAATAAGTGTAAGGGTTTTCATATTCTTTATGGTATCAGAGCCTCCACCAAAACCCTTA